TATCCAAAGTATGTACAAGGTGATAGGCTAGGGTATAAATAGGAGTGCTAGCATCTAGGGTTTCATTTGGTGTTGCATTGGCCGAAATTCATCAAGCCAAATGCATACTAAATGAGATGCAAATTAACCCTAGATGCTACTTGGTGGCCAAGTTTGGCATCTAAGGGTTTAGGTTGGCTACAACAAGGTGCATGATAAGTCTATGCACCTTGGCCCTCCAATTGGGCCTAAGCCTACCTAACACCAAAAATGTCCAAACAATTCCACTAAGTGTGCGTCACCCTCCTAATGGACACGCCTAGCCCAATTTGAAATTAACCTAAGCATCTAAACACCCCAAAATACAAGGGCAAAATGGGAAATACAAAGAAATAAACCCTAGGACTAAAATACCCCAAAATACAAGGGTAAAATTGGAATAAACCAAATAAATCCTACACTACTCAAAATTAGTCATAGCATTGGACCATGTGATGGGTTTCACATGAAGTACCATGGATGGTCCTCCATCACAAAGAGACCTAGCTCTTGATACCAAATGATGGAAACTTGCTTTGGAACCAGATTGATGTTAATTCCTCTTCAAGCTTTTCCTTAGACCTTTGGCTCCTTGGTTCTACTCAAGCTTTTCCGAAGCTTCCAATGGAGGAAGAAGCTTCGGATTTCACCTTCAATGGTGAAGGACACTTAAGTGGGGCCACTCCTTGGAGGAAGATTAGCCACTTCAAATCTCACCACACTCTTGTATGAAGAGGATAAGAGAAATGGATTAAAATCAAAGAGGTTGAGACTTTTGGAAGAGAGAAAATCTAAACAATTTTCGAAATTCTCTCAATATATGCTTCAAAAGTTTTTACAAAGTGAAGAAAAAGGCTTATATAGTGAGGAGGTCACTTGTGGAACAAGCTAAGATTCTAAGCTTGTGGAACAAGCTAAGATTCTAAGCTTGTGGAGCAAGCCAAGCTAGAAGCTTGTAGCTCAAGCTAACCAAGTGTGTGGGAGAAGCTAGAAGAGCTAGGTGGCCATCTTGTTTTCCTTCACTTAATCCAATCCAAAAATGTTGGAATTGGTTTAGTTAGGTTCACCTGATGAGGGTGAGACCGAGCTAAATCAATTCCTTGGATTAAATGGAGCAAATCAAGCCCAATATGTAAAATTTAGCCTAGGCCCACTACAGGCCCAATTGCTAGCTTCACCTACATACTTTACTATTTGTCACCCCACTTTTACTACTAAAAATATGAAAATCAGTGACCCTTAATACAAGGTCAAATGGAGAAAAATTCTCCAAACAACATACCCTAAAATCCTAAAGGGATGACCAATAAGAAAAGGAAAAGGTGCCTTACAAATACAAAGGCAAAATACACCTATACAAGTATCTACTATACACAAGGTACAAGAAATCAAACTATACAATGTATGTACAATAGAGACTATGAGACTAAAAAGAGGAATCATACTCAATGCTCATATTGAGCATAGGTCTAAGAAGCACCTCCTTTGTAGAAGGTTTCTCTAGCCTCCTAACCATGGACCTAGTTAAAGGCCCAATGGTCTTCAAGTGTGAGTTCTCCTATGGATCAACCTTTACCCTTCTTGGTCTTACCTCTTCCAAACAGATCCTTGGGGATTAAATTTCCATCACTCCCTTATATTGATGGAAATGGCTTGGAGAAGTGATGAATGTTCTCCTCTAAGCTTGATCTTCTTTGTCCAATCTTCTCTTGAGGTTGAACCCTGAATTTGGAAGCAAGAAATCAAGCTTAGAAAGATTGAGAAGCAACTCCAGTAGCGCGGTCTTCTTCTTGAAGCAGAAGAAGATGTGAGGAACCAAGGCACAAAGGAAGGATTCCTTTGTGAAGGTTCTTAAGGGGAGAAGGTTCTCCACGGTTTTCAGACTCTTGAGAGAGAGAGAAATTTTTGAAATTCAATCTCATAAATGTTCAAAAGTGAGTACAATGGTAGGAGAAAGGTTTATATAGAGTAGGGAAACTTGTGGAGCTAGCTAGGCTAACCATGGTTCAAAGGAACCATGGTTGGCTTAACTTGACCGTCCACCATGGTTTGGGAGGCCTGTGAAGCAAGCTTCTAACTTAATAGCTTGGAAAGAAAGCTAGGTTAGAAGCTCTAATATAGAGACATATGTATATATGAGGTAACTTCCCGATGATCAACAATATAAATGTCAAAGAAAAAGAGAATTGGTACTTAGAGAGTCAAATTGTCTTATAAGAGTTTATGTATTTATCCTTTTTTTATTTTAGTAAAGTAGCCTGGATAGATACACCATAGATAGTTGGTTGCAACCTCGGTTTCGTTAATACGATAATGGTAAAAAAAAAAAAAAGTTTGCAAAAGGTATACCTTGGAGCAGTTCAATTCTATGAACTAGCAGGCTAACTTTAATAATGATATTCTAAAGTATTATAGAAAATAGGATAAAATAAGAATAGTAATAAACTCCTTGTCTTATCTTTTATTTGGTGCACAAAAAAATAGATAGTAAAAAAACTATAAAAGTTAATAAAATTATTTTAAGGTATTGTTTTGTTTTATCTTTATAATATATGTTATACCTTTCGAATTGTATATGCCGAATTATTGTCTTAAAGGTGAAACGTTAAAATTATTATATTAAATTATTATTTTTATTTTAAATTAATTGACATAATATTAAACTTCAAAAGGTTGGAGGACTTTTCGATCTTTAGGATTCGGAAGATAAATTTTCCTAAGATTTTCATAAATATTATAATTAGAAATGTTATTCTTAAATATATTTAAAAAATATTTGGTTACTTTTCCAATATTATAGAGAATATTACTTTTCCGCTCATTCATTATGACATTGAAAACTTTCTAAAACATGAAAATGTAATTTATTTGAAATAAAATATATTAAAAAAATTTATTATATAACCTTTTAATAAATATAAAATAAATATTTTCACCGTATTTCTCCAGATAGAAGAAGATAATATGAGTAATGATAAAGATAACTTCTAAATTTATAATTTTTGAGTTGAATGAAATAATATTACAAATAGAATAAATTCATAAATTAACGACTCATAAAATAATAAATTAAAATAGAATATGATAATTTATCTTAATGTATCATTTTAAACTGATAACAAGACATGCTAATATATTGATAATAATTTTGAGAAAAAATGCTTCAAAAATATTAATTATAATAAATAAATAAATAGAAATATGTAGATACATTAAAAGCTACCGTTTAATAATTACTGTTAATATTTTAAGCAAGAATTTATGACATTGGTTAGGATCCATAATTTAACAAGAGAAGAGAGAATGGTGACAGGTGAGTGACGTCATGTCATGTCGGAAGAGGAGGGCACGTAGGCAGCTCCCATAAATGCCGACAGATTAATTTTTCCGATGACAAGTCGGTGTCCTAAGGTTATGGGTCCTCTCCTCTCACTTCTGCTGCTAATTCTTCAAGCACCTTTTTTTTTTTTTTTTTTTTTTTTTTTTTTTTTTTTTTTTTTCTACGATGTACTTTATAATGTATTTCATTTTATACTTTTAATCATACAAATTCTTAACATCAAATTTTTTATATTCTTCCAACATTTCTAATTTTTTTCCTCAACTTTATTTATAAATATACTTTGGCAACACATTTATAATTATCATTTTTATGTCAAATATCAAATTTTATTATACGATCAAGAATGAGATCCATCGATCGATACTAAATGTAAGTGTTCACAAATTTGTAGTTTTAATAAGCATTTTATCGAGTAAATTTTAACAACTCTATTAACAAATTAAAAATTAGTCTGATTATATTAAAATACTCTCATAAAATAAATTAAGTATATAAATTTGTACAACTCAATCTTAAATTTATATTTAATTTATTAGTATGTGTTTTCATACTAATTTTTTAAGACTTCACTTTAACTACTTTAATTTGACTATAAGATAAAAAAAAAGTTTAAAAAGAATTATTTCTATCAAAAATCAAATTCGAGATATATTATTAAAACTTAATCAATCATCAGTTTAATGAATTAAAATTTCAGTAGAAAATATTTAAGAGATAAGTTTTTATTATTAAATCTCGTATATTAAATGAGACAAATGAATAAAATTATTAAAAAGAAAAATGAATGAATAGTCAGATTTAATAGGAAGGGTTTTTGTGATATATATATATTGTTGAATATATAGTTATTTTTGAAGGAAACTTTATTGAAACAGTAGGTTTTGATAAAAGTAAAAGTAAAAGTAAAAGTGTGAAGATCATGGATGCAGATGTTAATGTAATGGCAAGTATTTGAAAGGCTTTCCAGAGTGAGACACCTCTTTTTCTGCAGACGGGTCATTGATGACCACATCCTCTCTTATCTTCAACTCCGAGTTCAAACAAATAAATAATTAATAGGCTTAATATTAATTACTATTATTACAGGCAATATATTTTAAATAAAATATAAAAAAAAAAGAGAGAGAACCTTTGGGATAGTTATTATCCTTAGCGTTAGCGTTAGCGGTGCCTTATGACTGTATTCAGCTCCCCTTCCCAACTCTCGAGTAGAATTGTTGATTTGTAGATCTTCTTCTCTCTTAGTCCCATCTCAACCAGCACACAAAATTTATTTATTTATTATTTATTATTTGTTTATTTTATTCGCTTCTTAGAAAAGTGGAGAGCGATATGGAATTTGACGAGCACGAGGACCAAGAGGAAGAGGAGGAGGAGGAGGAGGAAGAAGAAGAGGAGGAAATGGGATTCTCAGTGGCGCCGCCGGGTTACGACTCGCTCGGGAACACACCGCTCAGGTCTAAAGTCACCGCCGCCGAGGGCGCCGCTTCCGCTCGCAAAGGCGTGTCCGCGGGAACGACCACTGTTAGATACAGAGAATGTCAGAAGAACCACGCCGTCAGCATCGGCGGCCACGCCGCCGCGCGCT